TGTCCAGCTTCCTGGGGCCCAAGGTGTCACCTGGCCATATCCCACTCCCGGACTCAGTCTACAAGGACTGCAGTGCCTAAGGAGACAGAGGCGCGCGCGCGCGGGCACACAGACACACACACACACACACACACACACACACACACACACACAGCGCAGGGCCTGTCTCCTCCAGCGGGGGCGCCAGGCACACACAGGGAACACATTGCACACACTGTAGGACCCCTCCCTCCCCGCTCAGCCCCCTCGCCCTGCCAGGCCGGCCCAGCGCCCCCACACAGCCAGCGAGCTGGGGCCCAAAAGGGTTTATTGACATTCCTGGCCCCCCCTTGCGCCGGACTCCCCCGCACATGGGCCCCCGGTTGGTGCCGTTGGCACTGGGCGCAGGAGCCGGCTCTCCGGCTGCTCACAAGTTGCAGGAAGCCACCCAGTGACTCAGCTCCCGGCCCTCACAATGGTCGCGCCAGGGCATCCTGAGAGGGCAGAGAGAAAAGGTCAGGCGACAGGAGCAGTGCAGATGTCGAGATGCAGCCACCTCTGGGGCGGGGCAGCAGGAGAACCCCCACACAGAACACCGCCCGGGGAAGGTTTGCCCGACCCTGAGATGCAGCCACCTCTGGGGCGGGGCAGCAGGGGAACCCCCACACAGAACGCCGCCTGGGGAAGGTTTGCCCGACCCTGAGATGCAGCCACCTCTGGGTCCCAGAGGTTGGGGAACAGCCGCACAGAACGCCGCACGGATGTGGCTCATCCAGCAATGAAGGCCAGTTCCATGTGATCCTGTGGGGTGTTCCATTCCTTAACACCACGGTCAGCACCGCACTGTGTGGTGTTCTCCCGGGCTATGTCATTTGTCCATTTGTCATGTTGTGGAGCGATCCCAGAGCTAAGAGTGGGGGAGGAGCAGACAGATGGGGGGGTGAGGATAGATGATAGACAGAGAGGGTGGGCATAGATAGACAGACAGAGACCCAGCGATGGACAGACGGAAAGCCAGGCAGATCATTCTCTCCATACCAGGCCCCCATCCCTTCCCAATCCATCACGACTTTCTTGACACAGCTGATGTCGTCGGAGAGGTCTGTGGTCAGGAAATCTATGGGGACAGAACGTGGGGGTGAGCGGGGCCAGGCTGTGTGGGCCTCAACCCACCAGCTGGGCAGGCTTGGGAGCAGCTCTCCTGGCCCAGCTGCCTCTGCTTCATGGGTTGTGAT